AGGTTTCTGACTGGTTGGTTCCCTTCAGGCTTGCCAACCAAAATTTTGTGCCTTGTAGTGGTATGGTTGACAATTTAATTTTTGTACAGGAATGATAGTTCAGATTATTTGATCTGTGTTTGCAGTGTTGACTGGTGGGCTCTGGGGGTGCTACTGTATGAAATGTTGGCTGGGAGAAGCCCCTTTGACATTGCTGGTGCCTCAGAAAACCCTGACCAGAATACGGAAGACTATTTGTTTCAAGGTGAGACTTTAATATTTATTAAGTCATTAACGTAACCAAGTAATTAGCTGACCAGATGGCTTTCGGAACCCGAAGGTTCATCACCGAACTAACCAAAGCCCTCCACCGAACCCTGTGTAGTTACCGACCTCTTGAGAACATTTATAGTTGTTATGAACAAAAGTTCAACACTGACGAATGTAATTAAAAGTATAAATATTTTAAAAGACGCAAGACTTGTTTATTTTCACGTGTACCTATGTTTAAACGCTGGCGCCAACGGTCTTATGTTTGATGCTGGTTTGATCCGGTACAGCTAAATTTTCCTGTGTATCTTCCGCGTCGCATCTGACGTAGCCGAACCTTCGCGAAAGCTGGGAATGTCAGGCACCCATCACAGCTTCGAGTTTGTCGTAAGCTGAAGACCGCTGTCTTCTGGGTCGTTGCGCCCCATAGTCTGGTGGACTCTGCCGGACTACGGGGTGCAACGACCCAGAAGACAGCGATCTTCAGACTCGCCGGCGCGAGAACCCCAAATCTTACACGGTGGTAAGTTGTAGGTCGTCTTTCCCGGGCGCGATTGTCATTAATGCTCTGTCGCTGTTTGGACCCTGCTTCTCCCTCAGGAGTTCATTCCGTGCATGCCAGAAGGTCAAAGGGATGTTAACGTTGTTGTAGGGGACGGGGGACTTAACATTTTAGTGATATGTTAGAATAATGCATGGCCAATAAAGGTTAAATGTATTTAAAAGGGAGGGTCCGTAGTGGTCACTCGGTCTGAGGCGTGGGCCTTGTGCCGCTTGATCGCTGGGACCGTGGGTTCGAATCCCACTCAAGCCATGGATGTTTGTCCGCGTTTTTCTGTGTTGTGCTGTCCTGTGTACAGGTAGAGGCCTTGCGACGGGCCGATCCCTCGTCCAAGGAGTCCTACCGAATGTGTATAGATCGAGCCAGCTGAAAACTTGGGGACCTGTAAAGGGTACCGGAAAATGTACAAACATGGTTAAACCGAAAGAAGACGAAGATTTGGGTTGTGATACAAATTTGTATTTTGCCGTTTGCAGTGATCCTAGAGAAAACCATCCGTTTTCCTCGGTCATTGTCTGTGAAGGCTGCTTCTGTGCTCAAGGGTTTCCTGAACAAGAACCCCGCTGATAGATTAGGCTGCCATCGAGAAACTGGATTTATGGACATAGTCAATCACCCGTTCTTCAAAAGCATTGACTGGGAAATGGTGAGTGGTAATTCAATTTTGGTTTAGTTTTATTTAATATACCATATTCAGAACTTTAAATTTAATTTAAAATAAAGGTTGGAAAAACAAAGTAATATCATACAAATTGAAACGTGATGTCGCCATCTTCAGCACTGAAGATGAAAACGGCATGATTTTTTTCTTCTTCAAAATGCTAGAATCTACGTACAATTCTACGTAGCGTTACTACTCGAAAGAACAACATTGTCAGAAAATTATTCGGTTATTACAACCTGACCTTCTTTTAATCAGAATTTCTTGTGTAAATGCCCGAATCTTCTGTCGGAAATCGCTGCTTCGTAATAGCGGCCGATACGCAAGATACAGAAATAAAGAAAAAGTGTGATGAAATTCTGAATATGGTTTATAATTTTAAGAGGGTGTAATATAAGGTATAAAAATCAACCAATATGTTGACAGTTTTAGACATTAGACGCCGATAACCTATGAACATTGATTATGGTTATCCGCAGTTAAATAGTAAAAACTCTCATCACATCTAGATCTCAGAGATCATAATTTTATTTTGACTGTGCACGTGAGTGGGTAACGTTTCGATCGGAAACTATTTTTCCGAGAGAAACGAATAGAAAGACATCATTACTTTTTCGAATTTGTCTTAAAATAATATAAAAACACAACTGGGATACTGGGAATGACCCGTTCTTCAAGTGCCTGAGCACTGAGGGTCCCAACTTTTCGTTGGCTCGATCTATCGACATTCGGTAGGACTCCTTGGACGAGGGATCGGCCCGTCGCGAGGCCTCTACCTGTACATGGGACAGCACGACACAGAAAGACGTAGACAAACATCCATGGCTTGAGTGGGATTCGAACCCACGGTCCCAGCGACCAAGCGGCACAAGACCCACGCCTCAGACCGAGTGACCACTGTGGACCCCAATAATAGTACATGATAAACAAATCCTGTTCATTCTGGTTCTTAATCCTGAATTACTGGGGTTTGATTCGTGGTAGGGTCAGGGACTTTTTTTCTTTGTCGCTGTGTGCATACTGGCTCTTGAATCCACCCGGTCCGTATTCGGTCCACGGCCTCCACAATTCTCCTCTTCCATTTGATCCTCTGTTAGGTCCGTCTGTCCGAGGCTTTGATCGAGGTTTCGAAACGTCTTCCTTTTTACGGTGCAAGGTTGTTTGCCTTGCTACCGACCCCCAACCTGGAGGACCAGGGTACCTCTCCCCCTCGACCAATTTGGCTACGGAGGCCCTACCAGTAGCTCTTGGGGTCACTGAGGTACTCGGCCCCACCACCACGACAAATTCTCAGCCCTGCTACCAGTTATCCTGACTGCAGCTTTTACAGTTTTCCTCAGTCCCTCCATATTCCATATCGGAGAAAATTAAATTGTTCACTTCATTGCCAACGCTTCTGTGTTTATATTGTCTACGTTTGGTGAATTTGTGCCCGATGTCCGACAAAACAGTTTGAATGTGCAATCCTTGCGACAGTAGTGATTCAAATTGGTTTCCAGATAGTCTTTTGTTTTATGAAATTTTGCTGCATATTCCGTACTAATTCATAAATTGACAGTTTATACCTTGGCCTTGAGATGTTGTTACAGCAGTCATTGCACCTGCCATCTTCAGGATTACGTGTCTGGAAGTAATTATCATATGTGTACGGATGTCTGGTACGAGAAACGTGTGAGTGGTCACCGTTCTGAGTCGAGCACTGCTCAATCCGGCGTCCAAGGTTCCGTTACTTTACGAAGGACATTTAGCTTCCGCTGCGCCTCTGCTAGCCCTCGATTGGTCACATACCTTCTCGCCACCAGAAAACTTCTATGTTTCCACGATCACTCTCAGTTCCAGACTAGACTCTTTTCCTGAAGATGGCAGCTGCGTTGTTCATCTGTAGTACAGGTAAGTAATTGGTGAAGTTGAATTCAAGAAATGTACAGAATTGGGTAATAAATTTGCGGTAAAAACGTGATTTAGGAATTTGATCTATTTCGTCAGGAATTATTAATTTCTGCCAGACGTCCGACTTCTCTCCCGCAGACTTTGCTGACAGTAAAAGACCGTAACTTTAGAAATGAAGCTATTGAATGGACGTTTGTATTATAAGACTGAAATGCTGTCTCCTGATCCGTGATCTTACGTGAATCTTCATATTCCCATTTATTCCTTCCTTACGCTTTGCTTCTTATGCATGTACTGCGTTTCATAATTTCTTACGATCGCTTTTACCTCTCTTTGTGTCCGTTCAATTGGACATGCCATCTTATAATGTTATTTGTTTACTTTCTAGGGTGCAGTTGGTTGATCGATGTTGAAACGGGACGTTGCACTTATTTTTTGTGTATTGTACAGAATTAATCAGGCATAAAATATTATTTTATGGTCACAAAGTTTATACATAATTAAGAATCTGAGGGTTTCAGTAATTAAATTTCAGGTTCTCAAGCTTTGAATGCGTCGGCGATGGTCTTTTGGGTCGTGACGTCACGCGGGCTCGTAGGCGGATACCGGTGTCTTGGAGGAACATGCTACGGCTATCTTCAGGGTTGGAGGCAGTCTTGTTGGTGTCGTTAGAGTTTGTCTATTTTGGTTGATGAAATTGTCGATGGGGGTCTCGTTTGACGTTTCGTACGGAACGTCTGACTTCGCTTGAGGTGACTGTCAGGTATTCCAGTATATAAGATGTATTTGGCAAAGAAACTTATGTTCGGAAGGTGTTAATATGAGGGTTGCCATTTTATCTTGCGTGTATAAAATTGGCCGTTGTTCCACTTTTTCCCATTCTCCCCAGATTCATAGTCGTCCTGATGTATTCGCTCGAAATGCAATAAAACGTTATTGTCTTTATGCAGGGTTAGTCAGAAGTATGTTTACAAACTTCGTATGCGTGTTCCAGGATCAAAAATAAGAAAAAAATGTTGTTATGAACATGCGGTCGCAAATGTTTCATTTTCGAAATATAAGTTTTCAAATTTGTACTTCGGTCATTATTTCATTTACGTCTAAAAGTGACGTAACCTTCCGGCCGACTCGTGAAAATCATTTGAGCAGTATTAATTTTCTCATATTGTCAGTCCTTGTGGTCGGGGCCGTTTGGATCGGTCTAGCGAATGGATCGCCGTTTGTCATCAGTATAACGGTGGTTTTAAAATTTGGTTTCCGACATAACCGATGCTTTCACGTTCAACCCTCTTATCTTAAATCAGCCATAATAAGATGTCTCTTTAATATTTAACTTTTGATATTGAATACGTTGTTTCTCTTCTGCGACAAACGACATTGGCTTGATGATAATTCTTTCAATTGAGTGTAACATAAAAACAAAGGTAGAATAATGGATTTTTTTAAGGATTCATAACTCGAGGGGAGAAGGAAGTTGAGTCTCGTAAAACATTTAATTAGTGTTTGAGAAAGCTTTAAGTTTATAAAAGTTCTCCCTTGATTCATGAAGGGGTGGGTGGGTTTTATGAGCAAGTCTCATCTTTTATGATTACGCTTGTAATATCGAGTTAGTGACGAGCTGCAAATTAGCTGTCATAAAAGCCGTATAAGCGGTAAGGAAGAAATTGACTGAGCCTACAGAACGCTGGCTTTCTGCGCACTAGAATGTTTCTCGGCCGGCCAGCTGTTCTACGGAACAACATTTACTTGCGTCAGATCGAGTCATTCCTCTCTGTTATCAACAGAGAAAGTTTTAGTTGCAGATTTGAAGAAGAAACGTAATTTCTCTGATCAGGTCATTGGAAATTTCTGTACTTTTGGGTTATCGGGACGCAAAACGGGAGAGTCGAATATCTGGACTCGGATTGGACGGAAAACTGAGCACGCGTAGCAGTTGACATCTCGTGCGTATCCAAATAAAATATGATAATTTGCCATTTATTGAAATAAAATATAATTAAAGCGACGTGTCCCGATAACCCACAAGTACCGAAATTTCATTGCATTGGCTACGACGCAGAGAATTTTTTTTCAAGTAATCAGTAAACATCAGGTGGGACTTTAAGGATGCACATTTTTATATGGCTGATTATTGATAATGAGGAGTTATTATTAAATACGTAATTATTGTAATAAGGTTCTTGGGGGAATTTTAGAATTGTGTATCTTATTCCTTCTTTAAAGAACGAGAAGACAAAACTTTGTTTTTTATCCCATATCAGTTATACAGGGTGTGCGCTCAATTCCATCAGGTCTTTGCTATGCATTCCCACAGTTTTTAACTGCTCGTCTGATCAAGAACACAAAGGTTCATTACCATGTTCACAAAAGCCTGTCAGTAGACACTACTCTGAGCCATTTGAATTCGTTCCGTGTCCTCACGTCATATTTCTCCAAAATCCACTTTAATATTATCATCCCATTTGTATATGGGCCGTATACCATTGGTATTTTCTGATGAGGTTTTTCCATCTACAATTTTGCATGAATTTCGTATCCTCACATGCATGCTACATGTCCTTCTTGTCCTCATTGATTTAATTATTTTAATAATAGGGTTCATAGAAGGATTAATAATGTATTCTCCATTATTCTGCCTGTACAGAACAAGGTGAAAAATTATAGGTTTATTTATTTAAAAATTTGGTTTTGTAAAGTATGCACAAATATTAAAAATTTGTATCTGAATGAGAGACTTTCATGTTATCATGTCTAAAGCTGTCCATCCACGTACGAGTCTGACTTGCGAGTCTGGCTCGGCGAGCTTGACTCGTGAGCCGGGCTCGTACGTGGATGGCCCGCTTAACTCACATTGCACTGTCCAGTGGAGTTATTTCTTGAGTTATTTGGTGATGGGATAGAAAAATTATAATTAAATTTGTTTTAAATAGGGGAAAAGATTTTAGGCGGTCTGAGGTCAGAAGAGGCTTCCAGCGTGACCTTAAAGGAAGGAATGAGCTGTATCTTTTATTACGTCGTATGTTTTAACAGATTATACCAATTACCGAGTTCCCTGAACATGGTTAATCGATTAAAAATGTTAGTCTGACGGCCATGTTATGACGTCACTAATTAGGTATGATTACCATGCACCCCGGGAACTGTCTGTATGTCTCTTTCTTACAGCTGAACCAGAAACAAATCCTTCCCCCTTTCCGCCCTCCCCTGGAGTCTGAACTGGACCTGGATAATTTTGACCCCCAGTTCACACTGGAGCCAGTCCAGCTGACCCCGGACGATACGTAAGTGACATACCCGTACAAAACCGGTGCCGCCCTCGTTTGGTTTGTTACCTTCCATTTTGTTTTGTTCTGTTTGTATTTGGAGTACAGAAAAGGAATGTCTCTTGTTTTAGCGATGCTTATTCGAGGACGAAATATGTTTTTAATAACTGTTCAGAATAGTTCGTGATATCGCATAAAAATGATCGGTCAATGGATTTTAAAAGTAAGACGGTTTTCAGTAGTAGTTTTTCGTCTAACAAAACGTAAATTACCAGATTTTTTATTGTGGTTTGTTATTAAAAATTAATTTATTGCCTTCAAGAAAATAATCTGCATTTCTGTCACAAAGATAATTTTTCAGTTATTTTTTATAAACATAAATACGTCTTATACTGATGACTACCATAAGACGTTACTTACGACTGTGCTATAAAGACGTACATTTTATCATCTAAAGATACCTTTTTGTGGACATTATCCTGTCAGATCTTATTCCGTTGAAATTTTTTTTTATAATTTATTTTACAGTTTTGATTTTAAAATGTAAAATTTCAGCTCAGAGGATGAAAAGATGGAAATATTCTGTTTTATAACAAGCCATCCAGGCCTAATACTGAGAAGGATTATAAAGAGATATTCATTCATAGACGCAGGAATTCTTTATCCAGCCACTGTTTTTTTTGGAGGGGGGTAAGGGGCTTATGGATTTAATCCTGCCCACCTCACTCCCAAAAATATTTTGTGCAACGTAAATTTTTTTTTGTTTCAAGCAAAACTTGAAATATTGACCCGTGAATATATGTAATAAAATTCATAGCTAAGAAGCAGTGCGCTTCTCCAGGAGTCATCTCTCAGTCTGTACTCTTTGCGATGAATGCAGCGAGTCTGTAGGCAGAGCAGGTGGCTTGCTGTAGCGAGTGGTTGCATTGCTCCCCCGTAGTTTAGCCTCGCATCTTATTGGTCCGCAGCTAGAGCAGAAGCAAGTGACTCCCCCGTACAAGCCTCGTCTTGAGTCGGATCGAGACCTCGCCAATTTCCCGCCAGAGTTCACTGATGAGCCAATTCACCTCACGCCTGATGACACGTGAGTCCACCTTTTTCCTTCCGTATGTGATGTAATGAGATTGGCTTGACAGCAGCTTGGGTCCATGCGGAGTGCAACTGACTGAGTAATTTATTTCGATCAGATATATAAAAAAAAAATTCTTATTTAAAATTTAACTTTTCAAATGTGATATTTTCTGGGCTCAGTTCAGTGTTTTTTTATCTTTACGATGTTATTAAAATTTCTAATACCTGAATTTGTTGGTCTCGTTAAAGACCGATTTCACTTCGGTTCCAGCAGGCAGTTGCACCCTCAATGTGTCTCGCTTCACTCCACAGAATTAAATCTCCTTAAGTACGCAGTGCCACGTGTTTCCGTTAATCTTGAAATGATTCGTGATGTTTGGATTTGATTTGTGGATTGAGGCGAATTTGCTGTTGCGTCTAGAAGCTTGCGTAGTTGATATGTTGCATGTGTGGTTTAATGATTATGGTGCATTCAAGTTATATAAGAGATTATTAGTTGTGTATAATTGTATTGTAAGAAGATAATCGAAGATTTCTGTCTTCTGGGTTGTTGCGCCGTGTAGTCTGGTCGATATTAACCAACGTTTCAGAGGTCATACTGCCTCCGTCATCAGGGCGAGCGCAACAACCCAGAAGACAGAAATCTTC